GGAAAGAGGCAGGTGGAATGTAATGGAAGGGCACAGCTCAATGTTCTCTCCTTTCTCTATTGTTTAAGATCGGTGACATTTTTGGAGAGATGGGAAATGGCCACACTTTTATACTTCACTTTGCATGAACTCTGTTAGAGAACTTATATTTGTGTTTGGTAAGGTAAGGCCTGAAGCTTATCACCATAATGGACTCATGTATTCAAAAAATGCTTAGAAATATTCCATTTTCAGAAAGTATTTACTATTATTCTATTCTGACTTTTTCCCCCTGCCAGGGCTGTATAAAATGTATTCCCTATATGCCTGAGAACAAAACCAAAAACAAACATGAGAGATACCGCTGCGCAGGTCATCTGACATCTGCTTGTTTGGAACACAGAATTCTGGTTGCCCACAGGCTGGCAACAGGAGGTGATATTCTATATATAGAGAGGTCTTCATTCTCCATTGCCATAACCTGGCTGCCAGGAGCAATTCAGATTATCCTATCTACTTTTCCATGGATACTATAGGTGAGGACAGGGGGGAAGACAGCTGTTGGGAGAAGAAATATTTCTCCAGGTTTTGATGGGTCTTCTGTGTGCCAGGAAGTGTGCTGGGCATAGGCAGTCCACAGAAGAACCACATGCCTTGGTGCAACTTGGCTCCAAAGCCTTTGTGAAACCTCCCTTCCAGGAGGTGGTACAGGTTAGAAGCAATGGCTATGTTCAGGGGCTTCTAGATGTAGCCAAATATCAGAGAGCAGGAATCAATCTGGGCAACATGCCTATAAGCCAAGGCCTAATGCAGAGGAGAGAGAGAGAAAGGGATCGTCTTCCTCCTACCTTCTTTTGGTACAAACGGGAACATGAAGGGGGATGTTTCCTTGATTCACCAGCAACTCAATTTGGCTCCTAATGTCAGACACTCCCTCCCAACCCCCTTTCAGCTGCCTGGAGAGCTGCCAGCTCCTTATGACTCTCCTACCAGCTGGAAAAGACACATCGGTCTCCTTAGGACTGTACCGCCAGGGCTGGAGACACCTTTCTTGTCTCCTTTTCCATCCCCAACACTTACTACTGTATTGGCCCAGAAACATACCCTGCTTTGCACTGTTATGTCCCTGATTAGCTGTTTTATGGTGTGTCCCAGAGAAACTACCGAACCATTAAGGGTAAAGATCCTGTTTTATACTGTTTCTTTCAGATCCCACAGGGTGCCTTGTGCAGAGCTGGCACACTGGAAGTGCACAGCAACAAATAAAACAGTTACCATTTGTTAAACACCCATGCCAAGGTAGTCACCT